GCCAGGCGAAGGTTGGCGAATGCAGCAACATATTTTATCTTCCTGTGCTTTCCAATTGAGGATTGGTTGTGTGGTTTGGTTGCGATCATTCCTTGTCAGAGATGACTGATTATGTGTTGTCATATGTGTTGTGGATAGCCGTATGGCGTGAATCCTAGTTTATGATTTGTGAGGTGCGAGGTGTAGCCGTTTGGCAATTTTGTGCATTTGCTTAAATTGATTAGAAATGCATGAAGGAATTGTTTGTGAATGTGAACCATGTGTGATTGGTTTGAATGGATGATGATATATATATATATATATATATATATATATATATATATATATATATATATATATATATATATATATATATATATATATATATATATATATATATATATATATATATATATATATATGTTTTCTTTTTGATACATATATGTTGAGTGCATAATATATATATGCGATGAATGTGAAGAATGCTTGAGTATGCTCGTAAGCATGTATGCATTTCAAGAAGTGTAGGAAGTACATTCTTGTGTTGTTGACTCTTAGGAGAGTCTGATGAGTGATATGACTCTTAGGAGAGTCTGAAGAGTGAATTGATTCCTAGGAGGATCTGATGAGAGATGTGATTCCTTGGAGAATCTGCTGAATGACCTGATTCCTAGGAGAATCTGATGAGAGATGTGATTCCTCGGAGAATCTGCTGAATGACCTGATTCCTAGGAGAATCTGATGAGAGATGTGATTCCTCGGAGAATCTGCTGAATGACCTGATTCCTAGGAGAATCTGATGAGAGATGTGATTCCTCGGAGAATTTGCTGAATGACCTGATTCCTAGGAGAATCTGATGAATGGTGTGATTCCTCGGAGAATTTGACGAACGATGTGATTCCTAGGAGAATCTGACGAACGATGTGATTCCTAGGAGAATCTGACGAGCGGTGTGATTCCTCGGAGAATCTGATGAATGGTGTGATTCCTAGGAGAGTCTGATGAGTGATGTGATTTCTAGGAAGATCTAATGAGTTATAGGATACCCATGAGGGGTGAGAGTGAATTGATTCTTAGGAGAATCTGACGGACGATTAAGTCGATAATGTGTTGCATTTGCGTAGAGTAGCGAGTTGGCCTCTATGATTTGCGTGTTGACATCTGTGCATGATGTATGGCGAAATAAGCATGTTGTGTATGTTTATTAGAATAATGTGAAAGGTGTGAATGACATAATGAAATGTTTGAAGATATATATATATATATATATATATATATATATATATATATATATATATATATATATATATATATATATATATATATATATATATATATATATATATATATATATATATATATATATATATATATATATATATATATATATATATATATATATATATATATATATATATATATATATATATATATATATATATATATATATATATATATATATATATATATATATATATATATATATATATATATATATATATATATATATATATATATATATATATATGTATGAATGAATATATGTATATATGTATATGTGTGTAACATGTATGAATGTTCCTGAATGGATATAAACCTTAACGATGCATATTGTTTATGCTTGATGTTCTATTTGTAAATAGACTTTAGTGGATACATTGCGATGTACGATGTGAGTCGTGGTGAGAAAGCGTAAGATGCATGATTATGGATATGATATATATATATATATATATATATATATATATATATATATATATATATATATATATATATATATATATATATATATATATATATATATATATATATATATATATATATATATATATATATATATATATATATATATATATATATATATATATATATATATATATATATATATATATATATATATATATATATATATATATATATATATATATATATATATATATATATATATATATATATATATATATATATATATATATATATATATATATATATATATATATATATATATATATATGCCTTTATGCATTATTTGTTATGATATTGTTTCTCACCCTTCTGCTGTTTTATAATGCTCTATGAGGCATTGCAGATTAGATTACTGGAGATCTTTTGTGAGGCGTGGCTTCATCCTTTAGTTGGTCGGCTCTGATATGTAGCACCGGGTAGCTAGGAGTTGTTTTGTTTCTTTTGTGATGCATGTGTATATGTATCTGCTGATGAAAGTTATGTAACCATGTTGGTTGATGATTTGTATATATGAATACATGTGTTAGAGAATTATGAAATATTTGGATGTTCCGCCTTTGTTCTAGATATTTTCTCGTGGGTGTTACCCCGTTGTTGCATATCATTATGTATGAGCAGGTGTTTTATATGTGTGATTTTCGGATAATGTGGCATGTCCCTTTTATACCGTTTTATAAACTTACTCTGATGAAATTTTGAATTTGTGCCTAAATAATTAATTGTATTATTTGGGGGTATAGAAAGGGGGTGTTACACCCAGCATACTATGTAGAGTACCCATCAACTATCTTTATGGTCATCCAGTTATGGACAATGTTAGATCAACAATAAAGTACTCGACTTTACATCTAGGGTCCATAGTGGTTTCAGGTCAAAGGGTGGTATACACCACTATCACCATGAGAGTAACTTATGACACTTTGCATAACATTCTATGTAGTACTCTCATAACAGGTCAATCCAGTATAAATATTGCTCATAATATTCATACATATGTTAAGACTTGATAATTCCTTATCCATGGTCCATGAGATGTGATCATCAGTGTTTCCACATAATAATCTTAACGTTTTAAGGTTATCCCACTTCACAGTAAAGCTCGACTACGGATACTTTAAGAATAATGCGTAACGACAAAATTTGTGAGTGTAAGCTATTGATTAACTTAACTCAAAATGCAAGAGTCACCATCGCACTTTTATTTATCCAAAGGAAAGAAAAAAGAGCAAACAAAATCTAAAAAGATCTAAAACAAGAACAAATAAACAGAGACATGGTAAGGGGGTTGGTTACACAAATGGAAGGTGTTAGCAACCAAAACATCTATAGTACTCTATAGGAACCTCTTTGAAAAATATACGCTTTTTGGTTTGAAATGTTTGCTTGAAATGAGATTAGGGAGATGAGAAAAGAAATTATTTTTAAGATTTTTGTGTTTGGAGAGACTTCTTGAGCCTTATGTCTATGTACCCATAAAGTGCAATTGTCGCGGTGAGAGTTGGATATCAAGCTATTGATTAACTTGAATTGTAAATCATTATTCACCATCGGTCTTTAATTTGTCCAAGGGAAGGGAAAAAGATCGAATAACCCATGAGTATGCAACGCAATGCAAAGTTAGAGAGTCTAAGGTTCGGGGATTGGTTAAACTTAGGGAAGGTGTTAGCATCCTAAGCATCTGTAGTACTCTACAGGAACCTCTTGTTTTATTGTATTATTGTTATATGTCTGCTAAAGGGTGAAAAGGTAAAGGAAGACCTAAGGTGTTATATCTAAGTATGCTTGCTAAGACATTGCATCTCATGCCTACGTATCCTGACGGGAATGGAATCAGAGCATTCGTAGTTCCTCTAAAGGGATGAGGAACTTTTGACTGTGTTCAAGGTTCAAGGGGGGGGGGGAGATGTTTGTTGATTAATTTTTAGGAGAAGAGACAAGTTGTCATCTTAAGGAGAATACTCAACTTAAACCGCCACAAACATATGGAAGACAGTATTTGCTTCACAATGAGAGAAGGACTCCAACTCAGATTTATAATTGACGAGTATGCCACATGCCTGTCTCAAGCGGAAAATATTCTACATCTTTCTCGACTATGTTATGGGGTAGAAGTATTATATCTCGACTACGAAGATGACTAGTGTCTAGTTCTCTTGGGAGAATGAGATCTTAATTCATAAGTCGTCTAGAAGTTGAAATCCTATGGGAAGCTATCTAAGGATATAAGGATGTACTAAGTTGATCGACTTGAAAGGAGTCAGGGATCAAGCAGAGGGGTAAATGATGCAGATAAAGTTCAAAGTGTATGACTATAAAGTCACACAAGTTCTTCCCTTGGACATACAGTATGAGCAATAATGAAGATTGAAGACCATAAGATAATTGTCAAATAACATAAGTAAACAAGATATGAGATCAAGCAAAATATTGATCATGAAGTCGAGATTGAAAGGGGAAATTCTGGCCTAATGTTATGATGTAGTAGGATTAATCCTAGTATCTAATTTAATTCAAATTATTAGAGATAAAGTTGAATTAAGAACTTAAAGGAGCATGTAAATCACAAAGTGCACATCAGAATTGTTTAACGGTCATCAAGATTTTACCAAAACTTGCAACGTTAATAGTCAAAGTAGACCTCTAGATCAATTAAGATTATTTTAATCAATTAAAATTTCATTAATTAATCAGAAATTTGAATTTCACTCTTAATCGATTAGAAAAAAAAAATTAATTAAGTTTATTTAAAGTTTAAGGTTTACTCAGCATATAAACAATATTAACCCCACGTAAAAACAAAAGATCAGAATAAAACCTTATTAAAAACAAATAAAACTAAAAAAACTAAGAAAAAGCAAAAAGGGGCATAGTTGAAATAAAATGGGGTGTAGGAAGAGGAGGGACATAGATTGAAGGCTTGTAAGCCCACTCGGTTCACTTGAAAAACCGACCGTAACCTCAACAAACCAAAGCTTCAGCAAAAATTCCTCTCTCAAGCGCTATTTTCCCTCGATTCCTTTCCTCTCCGTATGCACGCGAAGAGAAAGTCTGGCCACCTCAATCAAATTCCTCCCCTTCTCCTCCACGACTCACCTGCAAATTCTACTCCCCTCATTGCTTTCTTTCGAACCCAGGCCGATAAACACCAAGGTGAGACATCACCCTCTCATTGCAATAAAACCCAATCCCAGCAAACACAAATCAAGAGGGAAATACGAATTCTAAAGACATACAAGTAAAACAGCGAGCATTAGATTAAAAGGGTTACCAATCGATGTCGGCGATGGAGGTAAGTGATTCATAGTGATCTTTTGAATAGTCCTTCTGATTTTATGCTCTGCTGCGGGTAGTTTTTCACTGCTGTGGTTCCGTGTTACCGTTGTGTACTATCCTCTTTCTTATGTGTTACTATGTCGTGTACGTGTTTTTGTGATGTTCGGTTCTTCTTCTTCTCTCTTTGTGATGTGTGTATGTGCTTCTTTATATAGGCTCACGAGTGAGAGATTTTTGATTCAAAATTTAATGAATGAAATTATTCTGTCGAATCTGTTTTTAGAAAGAAGATAATGGTTGTACCAATTTGTGATCTTTGTTGTGAATGCGTGACTTGAAGTGCCTTCCATTATCAGTTGTCACATTTGATTTCGTTGTGATATCGTGATGAATGTGTGATGAATTCTTTTGCATTTCAGTTTCAACATGTTTGTGTCTGTTTTGGAAGTATGATTTTGTCTTGAATATTTTGATTGATTCCTTTTTATGTCATGGTGAATTATGTGCTTTGAATGCAGACCTTAACCTATTTGCAAGATATTTGTTGTCTGTATATTAGGCAGGGGCGTCTGAAAGAACCAAGGATTCTGATTTTTCTCAAAGAACTGCATTCCAAGCTTTTATTTTATCTGCTGAATTCTCCCTTACTTCCAAGGTACACACATCAACTGATCATTATTTGCACCGAACTAATGTAGTTGAAGCTTTTTCTCAAGTTCATCACAATTAGATAGAAATGAAGATGAATAATCAGGTCTAGGACGAATGCTAGAAGAACAAGTATGTTCCCGCAGAAATACTATGGATTTTTCTCTTCTTTTGTTTTATCCAGGCTTGTCAGAGTTATCATCAAGGATGCAGAGCGGAGTGCGGAGTTCTACGATGAAAATCGCACAGCATTGATGGCGGGTAGCTTGATAATACGATACACTCTTCTTTCAAAATAATTGTTTCCATAATGGTGTATAACAAACAATATATTCTTTGACCATTTCTCAGTTTTTCACTCCATTCCAAAACATGTTCAGGTGGTGCAATGATACGGCAGTGCGTGCGGAGTAAGATGGATCATCCGACCAAGATATATTTTTACTCAACATTAAAGAATTGTATGGCTGCTGTTCGGAATGGTTTGGACTTGCGTTTAGGGGAATGCTTTGTCATGCCATTTGATTGCTTTTGTATTTTGTAATCTTTGAATATGGAGTTTTATTTACATGGATGATTTGAAGTTCTTATGACTTGTAGATCTTGCCAATGCATTGTAAGCTTAATTATGGAAGATGCTGTAATTTGAAAATGTGAATTTTAATATGAACTTGTAAAGAAATACTTTTGAATTTTTGTAGCATAACCTAAAATTGAAACTATTAACTTGGTTTGCTTGGAGGATTTTTTAGAGTCCATGAATTCTTGTCCTAAACATGTAATTGTCTTCGCATCATTATGATATTTTTGTGATGGAATTCAAATGAAGTTATAATCTTTGTCAAACATAATTTTGGTGTGGATTGGTTTTGAAATGGGCGTTGGGAGGTTTAAATATGGGTACTAAAGTGGATAGAAGTTTAAAAAAATGGACATTTAGGTTTAGAAGAATGGATTCAAAATGGATTTGGTTTAAAATGGATAAATTGGACAATGGATTTTGAGTAAAGTATTTTGGATTTGCAATTTGGAATTGGTTTTGGTTTGTAGAAAAATGGATAGGCTAATATGAGAATAGTAAAGGGAAAGTTGGGTATCAAAGGTGGATTTGGATATAAAAAGGTAGACAATGATTATGGAAAAGTGGATAATTGATTGTGAATTTGGATAATTGGATAAGAAATATTTGGACTTGGGTATGAAAGTGGTAAAGAGAAAAACTTGGATAATCTATCTGTCAATTGAATTCTAAGAAATCCACTCAACTCCAGTCTTTAGCCAAAATAAATATTCCAGATAAACTTGAATCATTGAATCGACTAATCCTTTATCTTTAGCTTAATCACAAATCGATCACATTCCTTTTGATAAGATATCAATCCACGAAACACTTCAACTTAATGAAAACTCAAGCAATTCTCTAGAAGATGATGATCTTAACACAAGAACTATGTCTTGAGAATTCCTCTGGAAATAAAGGTACCACTTGTAATGCAACATTGATCCTTAATGAAAGAATCCACTGAAACGAAGCAGAAAATTCGAACCCGTGGAAACCCTAAGACCCTTTGAATCAGAATCCGCTAGTCACGTCTTGAAGTACTTGACTTAGAATCTACACTTGAAAGTATTGCACCTGCATATACTAGTTAGTCATGATAAACATGCATACAAATACCTAAAGATGTCATGCAAGATAGTGCATAAAGAGGTGGGATCTTATGGTCAAAATTTAGGGTGTGACAGATGCCCCTATTTAAGTTTCTTCTATCCGGAGATATGGAGATCAAAATCTTCATCTCGACGAGATAAGAGGGACTTAAATACAAACATACACAATTTTTCCTCTAAGATGCCACTAGATGCAAATGATATGAAATAATATGATATGAAATGAAAGACAAAGATCTTGTGGGGAATCATGTCACAGGGGATAAATGCATACGGAAAACGTCAAAGCACAAAAAGGAGAAATCGACGAGGAACGAACTCAGCAAAGCAAGACTCCACGAGGAAAGATTTAACTCCAATAGGGAAGAGACAAATGACCACCACTGGGGATAGCTTAAACACAAAGTATCTCTAACAAAATGAAAGTGAGTATAATATTTATTACCGAGGATATAATAGCCTAAACAATAGGCAAGAAACTTGAAAGGGAGGGTAACCTACTATCAACATGTGGTAGCCTAAGCAAAGATATCCAGTTGAGATAAAGAAACGCATGTTACCTACTATCAATCATATGATAGCCTAAGCAAAGGTAAACATGAAAAGGAGAGATCACCTACTACCAAACACGGTAGCCTAAGCAAAGGCATCTGACTCACAAAAAGGCGTGTTATCTACTATCAAACATATGATAGCCTAGGAAAAGGTAGACACTCAAAGAAAGATAACTTAATAACAAACATGGTAGCCTAAGCAAAGGTACATGTCCAAAGAGTGCGGTATATTACCTATCAAACACATGATAGCCTAAGCAAAGGTAATAATCAGAATAATTTTCCATGATCAAACATGATTCAACTTCTTCTTTAACTAAATTATTCATTTATAAAGGGTAAATAAACCTCCCCACGCTTTAGAGTTGTATGCCATGAACGGGTCTTAGTTTCTTCTTTTAATTGAAAAGGGTAAAATAAACCTCCCCACACTTTAAGGTTGTATGCCATAAACGAGTCTCAGTTTCTTCCTGGAATGACAAATACTTATGGAAAAGTATATTCACACGGGAATTGGAGTTTTGCTGGAGATTGAATACTTCTGAGGGAACCCATAACTTGTTGGAGATTAGGAAAATATCACTGGGGATCTTCGAAAGAGATGCAGGCCAGTTGATTTGTAAAACACATCTTCTCAAATTAAGAGACAGGTCAACTACAAGAACCTTCACCAAACTTCTTGGAAGGATGTCATTTGATGGAATTAACTTTGTATAATTGACCCATTGGGGAAAACATCACTAAGGAACAATATTTATGTAGTTTGATAGTTTCCTTGAGACAAATAAAGTCCTTGTAACAGGAATTCTCAAATAAAGAGAAACACTTGTAGAGTCTTCAACAAACTTCTTTGGCAGATTTCCGAAGGGACGCTATTCAATAGAGAATAAGTTGATAATCTTGATAACTCAATGGGAATAGACAAACTGTCTTGAGGAGACTGCCATTTGTCAAGAATAGAAAACTTGAGAACAAAATAAACTGTTCAAATAAAGAGCTACCACCAGTTGTTTGGGTATCAGTCCCGAAATGATGTCGTATCGATGTTGTTGGAGAAATGTCTTATCCTTAATGGTGATCTTCAAACAGATTCTTCCCTGGGAGATAAGTGAAAAATAAATGCACGCTCAATCTAGGTTCAAAAGCCTAGAGATAATCAAGATTTTGATTGTCAGGGACCAAAATTCAATTCAGGAAGTAACTGAAAAGAAATGGTCAAGCAAGACTCTATCCATTGAGGGATGATCTCAACTGGGGTTTCTTTATCCCGAAATGGAAAAGAAAGCTAAAAAAATCATCTTCCACGAACATCAAACTCAATTGAGAATTAGGAAAGACGTGCTCTTTCTTCCTAGGGTTGACGACTCTACTTGGAAGGAGAAGACAGACCCAGTCACTTGGGGGATAAATGTAACACCCCGCTCCCCAAATTTAAATAAATAATAAAATAAATAGCACTTAAATCAAGTAATTATCAGAGTTTCCACACCAAAGCGGGATATCACAAAAGAAACTTCACCAAACACTTCATTAAATGAATTCAACAATTAACAGCGGGAAATGTCATACATATATATATATATATATATATATATATATATATATATATATATATATATATATATATATATATATATATATATATATATATATATATATATATATATATATATATATATATATATATATATATATATATATTATATATATATATATATATATATATATATATATATATATATATATATATATATATATATATATATATATATATATATATATATATATATATATATATATATATATATATATATATATATATATATATATATATATATATATATATATATATATATATATATATATATATATATATATATATATATATATATATATATATATATATATATATATATATATATATATATATATATATATATATATATATATATATATATATATATATATATATATATATATAATATATATATATATATATATATATATATATATATATATATATATATATATATATATATATATATATATATATATATATACATATATACATATATATATATATATATATATACATATATATATATATATATATATATATATATATATATATATATATATATATATATATATATATATATATATATATACATATATATATATATATATATACATATATATATATATATATATACATATATACATATATATATATATATACATATATATATATATATATATATATATACATATATATATATATATATATATATATATATATATATATATATATATATATATAATATATATATATATATATATATATATATATATATATATATATATATATATATATATATATATATACATCATATTCCCGCCCAAAATATACACAATATTCATCAAAGGATCCATCAAAACATGATACGACACAGAGTAAAAACAAAATCATCAGCTAAACAATAAACTCCCCAAAGCCCCGTGTTACGTATCAGAGCATCCCTACGACTCGACTCGCCACTATCCAAGCTAGCTACGCACCTGAATTATCTGTAATTTCGAAGAAGCACAGACCACAACAACAACAAAAGGGGGTGAGAAATCACGATAAAAAATATAGCAGTAATAATGTACATGAAAAAAAGGCAGTAATCATACGAACATCATTCAACATACACATACCAGGACCTACTGTCCGACACCAATCCACCACACAAGACAATGAAAAAACATGCAACTCAACACCATGATATGCGGTACCGACTCAACAACACTGATGGACACCGGGCCATCAACCCTCCACAAGGGAGCACCGAATAGATCACATACACCCACCAATGGCAATGATCTATCCCACCATTCTCCGCACAGGAGTACGGATGAACCGCATACACTCCATCCGAGCAATGATTCATCCCACCATTCTCCACACAGGAGTACGGGTGAATCGCATACACTCCATCCGAGCAACGATTCAACCCCACAATTCTCCACACAGGAGTACGGGTGAATCGCATACACTCCATCCGATCAACGATTCAACCCCACCAAGACATCATGATATGCACGACACTAATGCACAACAAAAATTCAAGCACACAAGGTGCACACGATCCTCATGATCACATTTTATACATCGCACGTACATATTCCACACATCACCATATTCATACATAGTAACATACACCAATTGAATTATTCTAATTAAACGAATAACACGGAAATCACATTCCAACACCACACATACACTCTTAATTATTCGACACTAATCTTATCTTTAATCATGACCAACAAGGGTCCC